GCTGAGATGAAATATGTCTAAGACCTGCTCAGTTTTGTGAATCAGAAGCTAATCTGATAACAAGTCTACTGAACAGCCTGGCATGTTAAGTTGATCTTTAATGATATGCTTAAATGAAACCATAAAAACAGTAGCATCTATGAGAAATAAACGATGACCCAACCTGTTCGAAAAGTTGCCCAGGGATACATTTGAAATCTGTAACTTGTTTCAAGTGTCCTGAAACTCAGCAACAGGGAGGGAGTCTACTTCTGCCTAGAAGAACGCAGTTGCAAGTAAGTGAATGCTGACTAGATGCTTTCAAATGTCAAAAAGAAGAAAGAGCAGTTCAAAAGTCTGACTCAAACCCACAAAGGCAACCAGGAAGGTGAGCCAGACACTCAAATGCATGTCCATCTTCTCCAGATTTTAAGTACCACACCCTGTCTGAAATGAGCATTGCAAAATTTATTCCTAATTCCGAGAACTGGTGGAAAATGTGCTCAGAATTACTTTCTCCTTCACGAATCACACTGTTTTGCTCCTCCCCCCATCACCGCCAAAGCCTCCTAGCCAAATTATTGCTTCACAGTCTCACCTTGTATGGCTAAGGGATTTCGCTCCCTATATGGCATCCTGGTTCTCAAAGGACAGAGAGCTGGACATGCTGCCCATGTTGGAGGGGGGGGGGGACGGGGATGATGGGCAACAGTACTGCAGCCAACAGCCTATCCTGAAAATAAGCCATTATGTGGACTTTGTCCACCATCTTGAATCAGCTCCAACACCTCTCTTAAGAACTGCCCCCAAAAGGGAACTCACCAGTCCTGCTACCCCCACGTTGCTTACCTGAGTTACAGTTATCCTGGAAAATGCACAGCAAGGGAAGAGAAAAGCGAGGCGCAGGACCTGAGTGTGGAGGCAGCTCTGTGGGGCAGAGCAGCCTGCTGCTCACCTGAGTCCCGGGGCCCCGCCCATTGTGGCCACTCCCACTCTGCACTCTCCCTCCCACGGCTACACTCTCAGCCCTTACTCATGTCTCTTGGCAGCTTGTCCACAATTGAAAATATTATTCAGGCTGAAGGTGCTGTTGTCTGCACAGCTTCTAAAGGCCTCCAACATGCTCAGGCAGGAAGGTACGGCAGTAATTCCTGCCTTGGGGTAAATACATACATACATAAGGGCAACCCTCGTAGTCACGTGGGACTTGAGGGTGAAATATTATATGAAATAGAAAGGATATGCGATGGCCGTAATAATTCATACTTCTCAAATATGGTGGTACCACAAAAAAAGCACCCTAACCACCAATCTTTCCGTGTAAACTGCCGGCGCTCCTTCTGCCAGATGCCAAACAGGTAGCTACCTTCAAAACCGAAGGGCTATCACAAAAGAAGAGGGTATATCAATTCAATAAATTATACTCAGCAAAAGATATAATACCAAGTTGACAGGAGTTGCCAACAAAATATGGTGATTAGGATTACACAGCTCTGCCCTGAAATCGCTTTGTGGAGGCTGGGCTCCGCTTAAGGTTTGTCCTGCCTCCCTCAGCATCTTCATACTATAGGACCCACAGCCTTCCTAAGGAACCTGTCATCAGGAAAGCACCTGAGACTGAGGCAATTTCTTTTCTGCTGAACTCATCCAATATGCCCTATTGTTTCCTAATAGTTTGTTTACTGTACGTTCTCCTCTATCTGACTATGAGAATCTTAAGGGTGAGGACCAAACCTCATTCATTATTATACCAACACTCTGTATAGACTTGACGGACAGTATGCAGTCAGTAAATGCTTGTTGACTAAATGAATGAGAGCAACTCATTTTGCTAAACTAAGATTGACAAATAGCTTTCCTTCCCCCCAGGCCCTACGTATTTTATAATTAACCGGGATGAAAGTCATCAACTAAATGAGTTGAACTCCGAAAGTAGGATTTCGGGTATCAATGGAACAAGTGGAGGCAAGAAGGTCATAAATAGGTGATGTGGGCAAGACGCCTCTCAAAAATCACACTGTCCAGCTACAGTGGTGTTTTGGTGCCCAGTCATAAATTTGGAAACTGACTCTACCATTGCTTGATAAATCCTAGACAAAGTGCTTAACCTCTCTAGCCTCAGTTTGCTCATCTGTAAAATGAGACACACACATACATGAAGAGACAGTCCATATAAAGTGTCTGGCACACATAGCACATGCTCCCTAATAATGATAGAGATTATCACCCCTTTGTCTATTCCTCAGGCGGGCACAGGCTCTGAGAATATCAAAATGACCAAAAGACTGGGGCAGGGTATTCACATCGAAGTCACTAAAATCACTACTGAACGCCTGAAGCATGCTTGCTACTGTGACCTAAAGATTTTAAGAGACTTACACTTAAATCAGAGAGCTTTGTCCCTTGTCCCTTTTGATGGCTGAATTCCNTAGAAGAAATGTACAGAAAAGAGAACTTTATGAGCAGAAAACTCTTATTCTCTATGAAATACATATATATTCTATAGACACTTGCTGCCCAAGGTGTGGTCCAAGGACTAAGAGCTTCAACTTCACCTGGGACCTTGTTGGAAGAGCAGAATCTCACCACCACCACCGCCGCCCCCCACCCAGACCTACTGAATCAGGATGTGTATTTTAGCAAGATTCCAGGGTGATTCGCCTGCACATTAAGTTTGAAACACCATACTGTGGAGGACATAGCAGCGATTCTAATTCTAATGCTTGTTAAAAATCTAAAAATTCCACATCCCATTCCTACCGATCTTTATTCAAGTGATCTGAAGCCAGGAATTTGCACCTTTAATAAACACCCAGGTGGTTCTGTGGAAGATGGTGCCCCTCAGACCATGCTTATTTGCACTATTACCAGTAAATTTGCAGATGATATAACACCAACAGGAGCCATGGAAAGCAGCCTTAGGAAAAAAAAAAATCCCTTGCAACTCTTGGTTTGGTTGAAATCAGGCCAAATGTTGAATAGAGAAGAAGTTCAACCAAACTAAACATAGTTCATTAAATGTCCGAACACAAGGCTCCTTGAATTTCTACAGAGCAGCTATAGCCTGAGCCAGTTGGAGTCTGTGAATTGCATCCCAGCCTGGGGACTGAGTGTTGCCATGACTGAGAGAGCTGGATCCACCTAAGAGTATCAGAGCCTTAGCAAGACAAAAGGCCTCCAGTGTCCTCATTGCCAGCAACAAAATGTGTTAAGCATCCCCTTAAAAACCACCTAGAGAGCTCCATGCGCAGGCCCAAACTCACATGTCAATTATTTTTTAATTCCCCCGGGTAATAGTTCAAAGAAAAATGGCTCTGTATATGTGACTTCAAGAAACATGAATAAATTCACAACATCTAGTGACCAATATCCTCAAAAGACCTCAACAAGAAAAACAAATAGCTACTGCAGAAAGTAAGAAAGCAATGGTACAATATTTAACTGGTAGTCTACCTTTTAGAGTTGGAAAGCTTGAAATTCTGACCATCCAATCACAAGATGAATCAACTCTATATGAGCAACATAGAGAATNTAGCTCATTTATTCAAGAAGAATATACCCACTAATATATCCATCAAAATTACATGTATATGTATAAACATATATACATGTATATACACACAATTACACACACACATTTATATATATATATATATATGTATATACACACACATACACATTTATTCATTGAATTTATTCAAAAATATTTTTTTCAGTGAATTGATCAGTGATTTGATTGATCCTGCGGTGAACTGGCTTTTTACAAGTTGACCGAGAGCCCTTATTCTGCTCAGGGGGAATGTCCTGTTGCTTGAACATACCTTTTTTTTTTTTGCTTCTGTGTCATTTCTGACAGAGTACCTAAAACATTTTGTTTTCCCATCCCTCCACCGGTGAACTACTACTAATGAATATTGTTAGATCAGGTAAGTCCTGTTGGTTGCAAGTGATAGAAGAGCCAACTTGCCTAAATAAAACAGGAGACAGTATAGGCCCATCTAACCAAGTGATGTGTTGGGCCAGGATTCAACCCCTTCAGAACATTTTCTCGTGCTTCTCATCTCTGCTTCTCTCTGCCTGTTGGCCTCACCTCCAACTGTAGGTGGCTTTCCCAAGGCAAAGGGGACATGGGCCCCAGAAGCTTCAGCCACACATAGTAATATGCCGTCACCAGAGAACTCAGGGCTCTTCCCTGCCAAGTCCACTGAGAATACCCTCAGGGAAGTGTCCTGGCCCTGCTGGCCATGGACACAGGTCCATCTCCAGATCAATTCACGTTGTCCCAGTCTGCTATCAATAGAATATATCCTTACAAATCCTTGAATTCAAGTTATTCCTTTGGAAATAGGAACACCCCTCAATTGCCCTTTCAGAGACCTTAGAGCAGTTCTCATGTTAATGATTAAGCAATAATTACTTTAATATTAGTAATAAGCCAGATATCTCCATTGATTTTGACTTCACATGTGAAACGTATTATCATGCATACATAGCACTGTGACTTGTATTTGTTTAAAACTTCAAAATAATTTGACTTTTTTTTATGTGATAGATATATTAATATATGGTACAGGACTAAAAAAATAACACCTCTCATTTAGTTGACTATTAACCATAAGTATTTTAGTTTATTATATATAATATTTTAAAATACTAAATTATGTTTCAAGTGTTCCATAGTTCAGAATTTTCCTTTCTCCAAATTCAGATTTTTCCTAATAAGCCTAAACCATTCTCAAGCGCTCAGAATCTGCTCCTCTCTTTTTCCATTCCTTCCTNGAAGATACCCAGGGAGAAGGCCACGTGACCACAGAGGCAGAGATGGACGTGATGCTTCTACGGCCCGGGAACGCCAGGGATCGCTGGCACCACCAGAAGCTCAGAGGAAGGCAGGGAACAGGGCCTCCTCTAGAGCTCGCAGAGGGCACGGCCCTGACGACACCTTGACTTCAGACTTCAGGTCTCCAGACCTGTCAGATAATGGATTTCTATTGTTTTAAGTCACCTACTTTGTGGTACTTTGTTACAACAGCCCTGGGAGACCAACACAGTAAGTACCTGGCATATGGCAATATTTAATAAACAGAAGCTGTTACTGTGTTTATGTTAGTACATTACCTACTATAGGGAAGACACTACACAAGGTGTTATAAGGACCAGCTGAGTCTCTGCTTCTCTGAGTCTGCATTCTCTCTGGGCAGATATGTAGAAAACAAGTAGAAGGCAGGGCTGCCCACGCCATACGAGCGGTATAACAATATGGGAGTCAGAGAGAGAAAGGGAAGCTTCCGCTTAAACTGTGGAGCCTGATAAAGCGGAAAGAGCACATGGGCCTCCAGCCTTGTCTGGGAACTTCTTATTCTAAAGCACACGTTCTCTAAGTGGTGTCTGTTGACCCCTGGTGGTCTCTAAGACCCTTTCAGTGTATCCATGAGGTCAACACCATTTTCATAATAATACTCAGATTTCACTTGTCTTTTCACTCTTAATCTCTCACAAATATACAGTGGATTTCTAGAGGCTATATGACGTTATCTTCTATGAAACCAAATATGAAGAGATTTGCAGAAAC